TATTCTAAACACAGAAGTAGTGCAAAATTCTCCAAGTGTTCGAAACTCTCCAAGAGTTTCCCTTTTGTCCAGTAAAAAGTCAAAGTGCCTCTAGCGGCCTGTAAGAGCTCTCCCTTCCTATCTTACCCTCCCCTTTAGCTCCTTGCTTTTCCTCAAACAAGTCAGGCATACTCCTGCCTCATTCCTTTGCACATGTTGTTTCTTTTGCCTAGAAACACCTTTTTGCAAATACTCATTTGCCTAACTCATTTCCTCATATCCTTCAGGTCTGCTCAAATATCACTTTATTAGTGAAGTCTTACCTGTTCAACATGCTTAAAATTACAAAGCATTACAAAGAAAAAAGCCATCCCTATTATCTCTTCATTCAGACATATATTTTTTCATTCATACTTACCACCATCTACTCGTACACATTTTACTTATTCATTGGTCTGTATTTCCCATTACAATGCAGACCCCATGAGGATAGAGTTTTGCATATTTTGTTCAGAGATACAATCCCAGTATCTAGAGGAGAACACGTCAAATAGCAGATCCTCAACATTTTGTTGAATAAATGTTGAACGGTCTACCAGGGTACAATAAATGAGTTTTTTCACAGGTGGATTGGCAAGCAGATTTCAAGAGTTTAACCTTGAAAGGATACAGGAATGGTTTGTTCATAGATATAGTTTCTGAATTACATTTATATACCTTCTTGTTGTAGTTATGTGTATAAATTTGAGTTGCTAACTATGGATCTTCTGTTTAATTATGCTATGCACAGGCACCATTGCTAGTCAATGTTTGTGCAAAGACTTAAAGCTTGACCCTGCAGTTAGGACTAAGAATCTCAAACTTAACCCCATCTAGAGAGCTGCAGATGTTCATCTGTGTAATCACTAGTTATTCCAGTTTCCAAACCTTCAACTGTCCAGGAATAAAGCCTGACTCCTGAGCTACTGTAGCTAAGGATGAATGAAAATAACATGTGAGGCTACAAGGGAATGGGAACCTCTTCTAAAGAAGGTACACTTTCCTATAAGGCTTCTGAATAATGCTTTTAAGAAATTGTATTTATTTGGTTGTTTCGTATTTTGAAAAGATAGTACACTCGTGGAGTTCAGATGAAGTATAAATAGTTACACAGTTAAAAGTGTCCTTCCCATCCCTGTTAACTCAGCTACCTGGTTCCTACTTTTTCTCTGCCTTTCACAGGTTTCTACTATTTGTTATTTAACTAATTTGTTATGTAACTTTCTTGAGTTTCTTTATTCACTTATATGTGAATATATAGATTCATATGTTTGGGGTTTGCTTTTTATGCCCCACAACATATTTTGGGAATCTTTACACATTGATGACATAAAAGCTTCCTTGTTTGTCTTTGCTTAGTTTTACATTTTGTTGCAAAATTAAACACACAGAGAAGTAAGTAGAATCTTATTTCTGCATCCACTGAGATGATCATATGTGTTTCTTTGATTTTTAAAATAATGTTAATAGTCTTTTTTTGGCTGCACAGCTTGTGGGAGTCTAGTTCACTGACCAGGGATCAAACCTAGGCCCCCTGCAATGCAAGGATGGTGTCCTAACCACTGGACTGTCAGAGAATTCCCTCCTTAATAGGATTAATTTGTGTGGATTGAATTTATATTCTTCAGCCAACTTTCGTTCTTTGGATAAATCCAACCTGGTAGTGCTCTATTATCTTTCACACTTATGTGGCTAGACAGTGGGTCAATATTTTATTCAAGAGTTTTGTATCTATGATCAGGAATGAGCCTGGCTTCAATTTTCTTTCTAAATATTGTCCTGGTCAGATTTTTGTATCAAGGCTATACTAGACACAGAAAGAGTTGGAAAGAGTATATTCTCTTTTACACTCTAGAAGAATGGAACAGTTCTTTCTTTACTGTTTGACTGAAGTCTCTAGTAAATCCATCAGTGCCCAGAGCATTTGTTTTCAGAAAAGTTTAAATTATTGGTTTAAGTATATTCTAATAAACCTGACTTCAAAAAAATGTCCTCTGGCAAGTTACATTTCCAGTTGATTTTGGATTCAGGGCCACTGGTATTATCATCATCATTTGATAGAAAGGATATCTTGTACTCTTTCTGAACCTACCATTTTTGACTGATTTCAGTAATTTATGATTTATATCATCAAGTCACAGCATAATAGTTCACATGTTAGTGTACAATCTGTATAATGTACTGTAATAGCATACTACAATAACTATTATAGTATATTGTTGTATGTTATATACTATACTATATATTAGAGTATAAGTTATTATAACTTGTAATTAATATTATATATAATAATGCTATGTAATAACAATAGTAAACTTCCCACAAAGTGTCTGGCACCTTTCATATATCATCTTACTTAATCCCTAAAGTAACTCTTGACAGGTAACCTGTCATTTTCACAGATGAAAGATCTAACCCTAAGAGGTTAGAGTATTTGCTGACCAAAGTTTATATGACTTATCTGTTGAGTATTTGGTGCCTTTAACAATTTTCCATCAATTCCCTCAAATGAGCATCCCATTTCTCAAGGGAATGTGTAGACTATTTATATTTTTTTAGTTTTCCTATTTCTTATTAAATTCATTCCTAAATATTTTATATTTCTATTGCTATTGTGAATAAAGTCTCTTATCCTTTACACTTTCAAATTACTGTTAGTACAGTCTATATGTGTTTTTACTACTATTAACTTTATTTTGTAACCGCTCACAAACTGTGTGAATATGTCATGCATCTGTTCTGGTGAGAAAGTTTATGATTTTATAGTTCTTAAAAGGATACATAAATTCAGAAAAGTTTATAAATTGCTGCCTGAAGTCCAGGTTTTCTCAAAGTTTGTAGCAAGTCCATTATCATTTATCCTTACATGGGAACAGTCTGCTTAGACACTGAAACAAACACCAGACTTTGCAACTCAGTTCAGTTCAGTCGCTCAGTCATGTCCGACTCTTTGCGACCCCATGAATCACAGCACGCCAGGCCTCCCTGTCCATCACCAACTCCCGTAGTTTACCCAAACTCATGTCCGTTGAGTCAGTGATGCCATCCAGCCATCTTATCCTCTCATCCCCTTCTCCTCCTGCCCCCAATCCCTCCCAGCATCAGGGTCTTTTCCAATGAGTCAACTCTTCCCATGAGGTGGCCAAAGTATTGGAGTTTCAGCTTCAACATCAGTCCTTCCAATGAACACCCAGGACTGATCTTTAGGATGGACTGGTTGGATCTCCTTGCAGTCCAAGGGGCTCTCAAGAGTCTTCTCCAACACCACAGTTCAAAAGCATCAATTCTTTGGTGCTCAGCTTTCTTCACAGTCCAACTCTCACATCCATACATGACCACTGGAAAAACCATAGCCTTGACTAGACAGACCTTTGTTGGCAAAGTAATGTCTCTGCTTTTTAATATGCTGTCTAGGTTGGTCATAACTTTCCTTCCAAGGAGTAAGTGTCTTTTAATTTCATGGCTGCAATCACCATCTGCAGTGATTTTGGAGCCTAAAAAAATAAAGTCTGACACTCTGGACCCTTCAAAACCATATACTGAAGAAGTTCCATGACTGAATTTTTTTCTTTCCCTAGATAGTGAATTCAAAATCATAGGCTTTTGAAATCAATCTTCATATTTTCAGGCCACTGTCTGTATAACCACAGGAAGAAGTCAGACAACAGGCCAATCAACTTTTCTAGATGTTATGAATCTCAAAATTTATTCTCATTCATATGAGAATATGAATATGCACACCTTTACATATTTAGGTGTGCAAATAACAAATGGACTTCCCAATTTCATCTTTTCTTGATAATTTCCCCAAGACATGTTTCTACTTCCTTTTTATCTAGGACATTGATGGCAACAATATTCAATATAGTAGAAAATGTTGAGAAAGTTACATTGCAAGATTAAGTTTGGGTGAATTCTAAGAAAGCAAGCTTTATATACCAACAGTTTGATTTGTTCTTTGCTGGGATTTTATCCAACATCATATTCTTAAGTTAAGATCCCCATCTTCCTACTGCAATAATTCATGGTATCTATACTATTTTATCTCAATATTCTTCAATATTCCCAATGTTGAATTTTGAAGAACCAATACAAAGGTAATAAACAGTATATATGGCATGTGGCCTATATTTTCATTGCATCACACTTGATGTAAATAAGTCAAAATTTAAGAACCACATCTACAGAAGCCTGCATTTGTAATAAAAACAATAAATGTGGATATTAAATATCAATTAACAGGTCTTCCAGTTTTTCAGGTGAGTAAATGAAGGTCTAAAGAGGTCAAGCAAAACAACTTGTTACTCCAAAATAACTAATAGACCTAGTTAGTAATAGAACTGAATTAGAATCCAGGACTTGCCAAACCCAGACATGTGCTCTTTCCACTAAACTATGTGGTCATTCTAGGAAATTGATAGTTTTCACAGTCCTCCTGGTTCCCTGGGAAAGGTCTCCATAGTAGTCAGACTTGCCAGGCATTCAGAGCTTTTCTCTACATGAAGTTTTTCAGGTTGAACAAAAAAAAGGATTTTGTCTAACAGATTTCCTTTTTTTGTATATGTATATGTATATTTGCCTTCTCTCCACTATGAATTTTCTGGTGTTCTGTAAGGTATGTATTCTTGCTAAACACTTTCCCACATTCATTACATTTGTCGAGTTTTTCTTAAATATGAGTTTTCTAATGTTTTTTAAGGTCTATCCTTCAGCTGAAGGATTTGATACATTTATTGTATTCATAAGGTTTCTCTCCAGTATGAACGATCTGGTGTTGAATAAGGCCTAAGCAGTAACTAAAGGCTTTTCCACATTCATTACATTTATGGGATTTTTCACTGATACGAACTTTCTGATGATTTGTGAGGTTTGTATTCCGACTGAAGGCTTTTCCACATACATTACGTTTATAGGATTTCTCTTCAGTGTGAGTTATCTGATGTTGAATATGCCCTGAGCAGTCACTAAAAGCTTTCCCACATTCAGAAGCTTTCTCTCTGGTATGAACTCTCATGTGTGAGGGATGAACTCTGGGTCAAAGTTTTCCCACATTCATTACATTTATATGGTTTCTCTCTTGTATGACTTCTCTGATGTTGAGTAAGGTATGTACTTGTGCTGAAATCTTACCCACATTCCCTTACATTCATAGAGCTTCTCCCCAATGTAAGTTCTTTGATGTTGAGTAAGAGCTGAGTAGTTACCAAATCTTTCCCACATTCATAGGGCTTCTCTCCAGTGTGAGTCCTTTCATGTTGAATAGACAGAACAATCACTAAAGGCATGCCCACATTCATTGAATTTGTATGGTTTCTCTCCAGTATGCATTCCCTGATGTTGAATGAGGCCTGAACAGTAACTGAAAATTTTTCCACAGTCATTACACTTAAAAGGTTTCTCTACAGTATGGGTAATATGATGTTGAATAAGACCTAAGTGATCACTGAAGGTTTTCCCACATTTGTTACATTCACAGAAATTTTATCTCATATTAATTCTTTGCTGTTGAGTAAGGTATGTACTATGACTGAATATCATGCCATATTCAGTACACTCAAAATGTCTTTCCCTTCTATGAATTCTCTCATGCTGAATAAGGACTGCACAATAACTGAAAACCTTCCCACATTCATTGCATTTATAGGGCTTTTCTTCAGCATGATTCTCTTGTGATTTGTTAAATGGGAACTCTGGTTAAATCTCTTTCCACATTCATCACATTTATGAGGTTGTTCTTCAGTATGATGTGCATGATGTTGAATGAAAGTATGAATGAATGAAACCTCTCTGAAGGTTTTCCCACTACATTTATGTTTTCTTTAAATCACATTTACTTTGTATAATTAAATCTGAGTTTTGTCTGAACATATTTCCATGTGTACCACATTCATGGCAATGCTCTTCAATAGTATCACTCTGCTCTGAAATAAGTATTGATGTTTCATTGAAAATCTCTCCAATTTATTATGTTTTATATCACTTTCTTTGGCAGAAATTTTCATGAAGGTGACTAATCTTTTCCCAGATATTTCTCTTTGTTTAGGTGCTGGTTCTTAAATTGGCCTCCAGGTTTCTCCCAATATAATCTTTCTCTTTGCAATTTCTTCCATTTTTATTCCTTCAGAGAAATCTTCTTTGAAAATGTCCTGCTGCTCTAGTGTTGATTTCTTGGCTCTAGGTCTAGGCTTCCCATCTATTAGATATAAAAATACAAATTCACTATGAGTCCAGTGCTAGGAGGGGGAAAAAAGCTACTATATTGGAAACAAGATAATGAAACTGAAAATACTCAGAATATTTGGTATGGGGAAATATGGTATATTAATCTAAGGAAGGAAGAGATGGAAAGGCTACTGGTGTGAAAGGGCATCATTTAAGAATAATGTAATCAAAGAGAATGAAGTAATCAGCCTGTCAGATGGGACGATTAGAGAAAAGGCTAAACTATAGAATTTAGAGGAGAAAAATATGCAAATGAGCACAGATTAAGAAAAGAAAAACTCTTATCAAAGAAAGATTGTCTTTTAGGAAATCTTCTGTGACAAAACTATTTAAGCAACATTTGAACTATTATCTCAAAGGCTACTAAGAGGTATTTAAATGTATTTCAAATAAACTTTCCCATTAGATTTGGAATTTTGAATTGCACAAAGCAAGAGTTTTACCTAATCTCTCTTTATGAATGACTGCTAATGTTATCACTTTACCTTTGATGTCAGAAGAGCAGAAACTAGGTCTAAAAGGAAAAAGACTGAAAAAGGGGGAAGTTTATTCCTTTGACACGGAAAATAATTCTTGGGGTTTTCCAGTGACAAACCTGCACTGTTGTTGTTGTTGTTTTTTAATTCTCAGTCAAGGATAGAAAAACAAGAAACATTAAACTCAGAGAACAAAGGAGGGATTATATATCAGCATATCTAGTAGTCCTTCACTATAGGTTCATACTTAGGAGTGAGTACTAATATGTTGAGTGAAAGCTAAGTGGTTTTGTGTAAAGACATGATGAATAATAGGTTTCACTGCAGGGGAAATAGATTACTGGGCAGGGACCTGGCTATTTTATTATGAAGTGAAAGTTGCTCAGTTGTGTCAAACTCTTTGTGACCCCCTGGACACTGTAGTCCATGGAATTCTCCAGGTCAGAATGCTGGACTGGTTGGCTGTTCCCTTAGAAGATCCCCCAATTGTTGGAACCTATAGTCTTTTATTTTGGACTGATCAGTTTCCCCATAATGAAATACTTCAACCTTCTACTTGGAAAAGATGTTATCAACCAAACTTGAGTCTACCTGCCTGTGCCCACTAAAGCCAATTTACTGACATCGGGCTGTATTGAAGGAAAAGTACAGCATTTATTGAAGGGTGCCAAGCAAGGAATCCAGGTAGCTAAAAAGGAATCCAGGTGCTCAAAAGGTCTGGATTTCCAGATGACTTGGCTTTCAGGGGAGGTTTTTAAAGACAAGGTGAGGGAAGAGGGTTGTGGTGTGTGTGATTGTTGTGGCCACGCATTCTGGGAAACAAACTCACTCAGGACAATGCAGATAGTGGAGTGCAGTTTATTACACCAGTGGGTCCAAGGCAGAGTCTCCTCTTAGCCAAGGACTCTGACCAGCATTTGTGAAAATCTTTTATACCCCATGTGTACATGTCCAAACCCACCACTCCAAATTCCTTGAGACTTACATAAACAAAGGAAGGGTAAATACAATGCCAATAACCCCATCATTCATGTGTTATGTGCTCAAACAGTTAAACAATTGGCCAATAATCAATAAGCCTGAGGTTACACTCCAATAGGTACAGAAAAATTTATGGCCTGTCTGGAGGCAGGGGTGATTAGTGTATGTTTTCTCTTAGGCAGTAAGTAACCGGGATACGATCTTCAAGGTTTCCCTGTCTGGAGAGGGTCTTATCCTTCTGTTGTCGTTTCCACAGGCACGAAGCACAGAGTTCAGAGTCCACTGGAGAGGTGGCCGAGCGTGATCAGCATGAACAGGCCGAAGATGGAGTCCAGGCCTTATGAATTCCCTCTTCATGATCAGCTTGTACACGCTTCTGATTTGTTGGTGGTGAGGTAATTGGGAGGTTAACATCATGAACCTTCTGGTTCCAAATGGTCTGGGGTCTATGTGCTTGTGGGCAGCATACAGTTAACTTCTTCCACCTGGGGGAGTTTCAGTTTCTACAAAACAGCTCAAAGGACACATCTCAGAATACTATCTACAGCCCTTGAGGAGGAACTAAAGGTCCTTGACTTTTTTTTTAATGGCTAAACTATTACTATTTTGTCTTGCTTGACTGTTTTCCTTTCTTTCTGCTTATTCATTTTGATGAAATTTACTTTCTAGAATTTGGAGAAGGCCAGGAAATTAAAGTTTTTCTACAAACAAGAGCCAGGCAAAGGACATGAAGTGGGAAGGGTCTGTTTGGGGAAGACCCCATAGGATCCTGCTAGGTTATAAGGGGGTGGGATGTAGAAGTCTGATGGCCCATGTTCTGAATCAAGTGAAAGGAAGAATTTGTGGAGTAAGGGTCTCCCTATTCAGTATGTAGATTTTCACTTAAGTGTCTATTTTCAATGTGACCCCTAGATCCAGGAATATAAAAAACAAGCATTAAACATGAGATATAAATGATTTTATTAACTATATTCCTAATATTCAACATTAATTCTTCATTGTAACTAGTTTATTATTGCTCCTTCTATCCAAAAAGCCCTTCTTTGTTTTACCTAATTCTTGACCATACTTTAGAGTCTCACTCAAATTACACTAGTATCATGACATTCCTAACTCCCTAGTTTTCCTAATCTCCCACAGTACTTACTGTACTGTTTTAACTTCTAATTTTAGCACTGAAAAGCAGTGGCTTATATTTATCTATTTTTCAAAAATTCTATTGGGAGTATAGTGCTTTACAATGTTGTGCTATTTTCTACTGTACAGCAAAATGAATCAGCCATACATATACATATATCCCCTCCTTTTTGGAGAGATTGTCATTGCAGAGTGAAGTAAATCAGAAATAGAAAAATAAATATCCCATATTAATGCATATAAATGGAATTTAGAAAAATGGTAAAAAAAAAAAAAAAGAAAAATGGTATAGATGATAGATAAGCCTAGTGTTTGTCTATTATCTCATTTTGCCATATGCTGTCTCTTGAGTTATTGTTTCATGGTTTCAAAGAAATGAAACTCATTAATTTTTTGGTTTTATAGCTAATATTCATTGAGTTTATGCCAAGCTGATTCACAATATAACACAGTTAATTCTCCTAAAGAGCCTATGAAGTGAATAATAGAATCTCTACTTTAAGGGAGGTTCAGAGTACTGAGTCATTTGCTTAAAGTCACACATTAAGCCAGAACTTCAGAGTCCAAGCTCTTTATCTCTACTGCCCTAGGAAGAAGCAAGATGTAATATAAACTATAAAGGCTAAAGTTATGACCAACCTAGACAGCATATTAAAAAGCAGAGACATTAGTTTGCCAACAAGGGTCTGTCTAGTCAAGGCTATGGTTTTTCCAGTGGTCATGTATGGATGTGAGAGTTGGACTATAAAGAAAGCTGAGCACAGAATTGATGCTTTTGAACTGTGGTGTTGGAGAAGACTCTTGAGAGTCCCTTGGACTGCAAGGAGATCCAATCAATCCATCCTAAAGGAGATCAGTCCTCGGTGTTCATTGGAAGGACCATAGCTGAAACTGAAAAGTCCAATGCTTTGGCCACCTGAGGCAAAGAACTGGCTCATTGGAAAAGACCCTGATGCTGGGAAAGATCGAAGGCAGGAGGAGAAGGGGACAACAGAGGATGAGATGGTTGGATGGCATCACCAAGTCAATGGACATGAGTTTGAGTAAACTCCAGGAGTTGGTGATGGACAGGGAGGCCAGGTGTGCTGTGGTCCGTGGGGCTGCAGAGTCGGACATGACTGAGCAACTGAACTAAACTGATTGTTAAGTTGGCAACACTACTCAAAGCAGGTTCAATGTAGTCCCTGTCAAAATACCAACAATGTTTTTCTACAGAAATAGAAAAAACCATCCTAAAATACATATGGAATCTCAAGGGATCCTCAAAACCAAAACAGTTCTTAGAGAAAGAACATATTGGAAGAATCATATTTCTTAATTTCAAAACTTACCAGAGTTACATGGTGGTAATCTCAAAAGAGAGCCCAGGAAAAACTAAAAACCCTTCTCATATGTATCAGTGGAATTTTCAACCAGTGTTAACACTATATAATTGGGAGAGGACAGTCTTTTTTCAACAAATAGTACTGGAGAAACTGGATATCCACATACAGAATAATGAAGTTGTACCCTTGAAAGAAAGTGAGGTTGTTCAGTTGTGTCCAACTCTTTGCGATTCCCATGGTCTGTAGCCTACCAGGATCCTCCATCTATGGGATTTTCCAGGCAAGAGGACT